CGTGGGAGGTACCTGGAGGAGCGGCAAGAGCAGCACAAGCATGGAACCCTGAGCCCTTCCCCCTCGGGCTGCAGGGACAGGGTTCCAGCTGCTTCCTGGAACGGAGCACCTCGGAGCCGGGGGCAAAGGCAGGCAGGGAGCCTGCACTGGCCCCAGTGAGCGCCGCTGCCACCCCAGAGCCGCTCTAGGTAAGCGGCACCAGGCTGGAGTTTATACCCTGAACCCCTCCTCCACCCCCAACTCCCTGCCCTGAGCCCCCTGCCACATCCCACACACCAACTCCCTGCCTTGAGCACCCTGCACACCTCCTGCACCTCAACTCCCTGCCCTCAGCCCCCGCTGCACCCTGCACCCTTTCTGCACCCCCTGGGGGCAGCGTTGGGGTGGGGATTTCAGGGAAGGGATTGGAATGGGGCAGGGAAGGGGTGGGAAGAGGTGGGGCGGGGGCGGGGCCTAATTGGAAGGGGTGGAGTGGGAGCGGGGCCAGAGGCAGTGGGGGGGGGGGTGTGTCAGTGATGCAGCCCTCGGGCCAATGCACTAGTTCGCATGTGGCCCTCGGGGTCATCTGAGTTTGAGACCCCTGGGCTAAACTAATGTGTGTAAAGTGCTTTGAGATCCACAAAAGGGAATCCTTATAAAACTGCAAAGTATTATTAAGAATGTGAAATCCTCTGCATTTATGTGTGAATGGCTTTAGTCAACGTGCCTATGTGCATTTGGTAAATGGATTTCTGAATAGGATATGATCAGTTACAGGAAAAGCTAGCAATCAAGAGGATTAATATTGAAGTTTCTAGATGAGGAAAATAAAAGGCATCATTTCTGGTGTCCTCAGGTGTTAGACACCCTACCTGTACAAATTAAGAGGCGGCTAGGAGCCCCGGGGTGAATTAAAGGGCCCGGGGCTCCAGCTGCCGCGGAGCTCCGGGCCCTTTAAATCACCGCGGGAGCCCGGCTGCCGGAGCTCCGGTGGGGATTTAAAGGGCCCAGAGCCAGGGCCGCCCAGAGGATTCAGGGGGCCTGGGGTCTTCGGTGGCGGAGGTCCTTCCGCTCTGGGTCTTCGGGGCACTTCGGAGGCAGGTCCCGGAGCGAGTGAAGGACCCGCCGCCAAATTGCCGCCGAAGAACCGGAGCGGAAAAAGCCCCCGCCGCCGAAGACCTGGAGTGGAAGAAGCTCTTGCCGCCGAAGACCCAGAGTGTAAGAAGCTCCGGGTCCTCAGCAGCGGGTCCTTCACTCGCTCCAGGTGTGTTCGGCGGCACTGAAGAGCCTGCCGCCGAAGACCCGCCGACAACTCTCGTGGGGGCCCCTGAAAACTCTCGTGGGGGCCCCTGTGGGTCCCGGGGCATGGGGCAAATTGCCCTACTTGCCCCCCCCCTCTGGGCGGCCCTGCAGCGGCAGGAGCACCGGGCCCTTTAAATCACTGCCCAAACCCGTCTGCCGGAGCTCCAGCGGTGATTTAAAGGGCCCGGGGCTCCCCGCAGCGGCTGGAGCCCCGGGCCCTTTAAATCACTGCCGCGGAAGCCGGTCCAGTCCGGCACGGCTCTTGGCTCTTGCCGGTACACCGTACCGTACCGTACCGGCTTACTTTCACCTCTGCTCTGGTTCCTCTTAATGACTTGGAATTTTTTTTACTAGGTCAAAATGTGGTCCTTTAAGCTTTAACTCAGACCAAATTCTTATTGCCTGAGATCCATAGAAAGGAATGGAGAGTTTGATCTTGTGTAGGTGTGAGGAGAAGCACTGAGCAGTCTGCAGTTGATCATAGAACACTGGGAGTGTGCAGCAACACATGCTGGAGGAAGCGCTGAGACATCAGACGGCCCGCAGGAAATGGACCATATTCTTGGCATTTTATGTAGCATGTCTGTGTGCTGCTGAAAAGCTGAGTATGTTCAGCTGATGGTTGTACTGTAGGTCAACAGAGAAGGATGGTCTTTCACTGTTCGCAATCAAAACTGACTACTTTCCTTGTCCCTCTGACTGGACTCTTTGGTCTGCTAAGGCCACTTTCTGCCTCTGGAGAATTCCCCTTGCGTAAAGGGACTCCTTGCCAGCATAAGGGGAAGGAGAGGGGCACCTGTGGTGTTTGGAGATGGGGGACATACAGGAGGGTATGTGATGGACTGAGTTGATCCCCAACTGCTATAAGATGTTTGGATCTTATTTCAATGATGGAAGTTAGAGTAGGAGGGGGGCCAACTCCAACTTCCAAAACGGCTGGGTGGCTGTGGGATCAGCAAACAGCAACCGACTCACTCAGGCCACCACTCTGCACTCAGACGCTGGGGAGAATTGGCCCCTGCATTCAACCATTCTTACTGTAGCTTGACCATTCCATCCACCTTCAACCTTCCTTGCCACAGCTGTAACATGTTCCATTATGTTTTTGTGCAAACAGCCCGGTACAGAAAATGAAGTGTGTGGTTTTTTTATTACTGGGAGAGGGGGGATCCAATCAAATTTCTGTCCAGTAAATGTGATAGCCCTAGCAACCTCCCAACCAATTATTCACCAGCTTCAACGCTGCTTTGCTTCTGAGATCTGACATGTAGTAAGGTTGCTTATCTTTGCAAATTATTGTATAGATTACAAAAACAAAAAAACTGCCTTCTATATGACCAACAGATTTCTAAACCTAGGATTTTTAAACAGGATTAGAATGTCAAGAGGGATAAGTTCAGAATACATTCAGAAAGGCAGAGGTCTGTGGAGCATTTACTGGTGTCAGCAGAGAGCTGGTTGGTCACATGCTGCTGGTTCCACTTTCTTATTTCTGGCTGCTAAATCACATTTAAAAGTACATTACTTTCCTAATATGACTTTCCCAGGTGAGCAGTTGCTGCAGTTCCCACAGCAATGGTTTGTGAATGAGAGGGGAGCTGGCTCCATGAGTCTGTGTATTAGCATGTAGTTCACACTACAAAGAGCTTTGTGAATCCCTTCTATACAAGTACACCTCTATCCTGATATAAGGTGACCCGATATAACATGAATTCGGATATAACACGGTAAAGCAGTGCTCTGGGGGGGCGGGGCTGCGCGCTCCGGCGGATCAAAGCAAGTTCAATATAACGTGGTTTCACCTATAACGCAGTAAGATTTTTTGGCTCCCCAGGACAGCGTTATATCAGGGTAGAGGTGTATATGTGAATCCATCTGGTTCTGTGTATTCCCTGGAAAGCCCCAAATTCACTAAGGAAAATGTCCCACTTTGCAACTTCCAACTAGCAGCCAACAAAACCGTTTCATGTGAAGGCTGTTCCATGTAAGACCTAGATTTGAACCGAGATCAATTATAGATAAGAGAGAACTGTTATTTCTGCAAGACTTGTAGCTCCACTCCTCTGGCATGGTTCCTAAATACATTAGCTTAAACTATAATTTAAGAGAGAACATCCTATTCCTAGAAGCAGTGATTTTTGCCATTAGGACACAGGGTTGTACACGTAATTTGATGCAGGTGAAATTAAATATGAAAGCTCACCTCCCCGCACACAACAGATCTTTTTCTGCTCTGGTACCCACTCCATAAACTTAACCCTGCAAATATTAAAATGTGTACATGCTGCATACATAAGAGAATCTTCAGATTTGTTAATACTAACTTAGGTTAATTCATGTGTTTTCCAGCTTTGGTACCACAGACTCTTTAGTTTTCCAAACAGGGCATCAATTGGAGCTAATGGTACAGTACTTGGTACTTTGCAGGACTGAGCTCCAGATAGGGTGGTTAGTTCAGCCCTGTGCACGTGAGACTCCTCCTGTTTGTGCTTCTAATCACACTTACTGACTGATGTCCAACTACATGTCCAATTTTCTCCTTGAATTCTAGAGATATGAAACCAGCCAGTCTCTCTTAGAACAAATACTGGGTTACCCAATAGGACAGAACACCCTACAGACACTCAACGTTATTTTCCATTCTGTTTGTATCAATGGCTATGAATGTTTCTCCACTTGCTTAGCTGCAATAGATCCATATTCAAGATGATCCCCCGTAGCCATTTCTCTAAACCGTATACATCTGAGTGCTTCACCCTACCTTAAGAGCCTTCAGACCTTTGATCTGTTTATTAGCTCCACTATGGACCTTCTCCAGAATTTGTGCAGCCCTGTAAACTGTTGACAATAACTCTTGATGAAAACCACACTTGGGAAAGACTTTTTTGTTGTTGACCTGGTCCATCAGTTCACAGTGCACTCTCATCATTTTAAACTTGCACATTGTATACTTTGGCCATTTCATTTGTCAGTGACTCACACCTTTTGAAATCTGAAATAACTTAAATTAATGCTCTGAAAAGGACTGGATATTTTTAGCCTATTACTGCTCCTTGAGAGTTTTAAATATATTGACATTCATGTAATGAAAAGGCCTTTCTTTACTAAAACTCTTGCTGTCTGTATTACATTTACACCAAAAGACACTCCAAGGAAATATCTCGGCTTTACATCAATTTTCAGAATTATCTCTTGTTTTTATATATTTTGTTTAATTTTAAGGCGAAAAGGGGCTATTTTAATGGAGCAATTATATAAACCCCCCTCCCCCCATGTTCCAGTTACAATGAGCTCAGCTGTTTCTGGCTACATGTACATGACACTGAATGGAAAGCAGACAAGGGAACAGCTTTGTAGCATCGTTACTACGCAGTCCCGGGGCGGGGCTGCTGCGGAGCCGGGGAAGCTCAGGTCCCGCCCCAAGGGACTCCCTACAGCCCGAGCCCGGCGCTGCTCCGGGCGGCCTGGATCGCCCTAGCAACTCCTCCTCCCTCCGTGTGCCCCGCTGCGTGCGCTACAGGCGGCTCCACCTCCCCCTGGCGTCCCCGCCCCCTGGGCTCGGGCTCCGGCTCCGGCTCCGGCTCCGGGCCTGGCCCGAGCAGGCAGCCTCGCTCTGATGCCAAGATGGCGGCCGTTGTGAGTCGGCTCTAAGTACCCTGCGCGCGGCCCTTCCTCTCCGTGCCGCCTCCCCTCCCACCACACCACGTCAGCGTCACAACATGGCAGCCCCCGCGATGCTCTTACCGCTGGTGGCGGCGGGGCTGGCGCTGTGCGCGGCGCTGCTGTGGTTGCGGGGGCGGCCGGCCGGGCCGGAGGGGGCCCGAGGGCGGGTGTGCGTGGCGGTGCTGGGCGACCTGGGCCGCAGCCCCCGCATGCAGTACCACGCGCTCGCCCTGGCCCGGCACGGACACGGCGTCACCCTGCTGGGCTTCCTCAGTGAGTGAGACCGGTCCGGCCCAGCTCCCTTTCCCTGTGGGGACCCGGCCCTGCCCTGCCCTGCCCTTGCCCCGGGGTCACCCTGCCGGCCTTCCTGTACCGATCTGGTCCTGCCTCCCCGCCCCCTTCGGTCCAGGTCCTGTCCTACGTCCGGGCACGGCGTCACCCTTCTGGGCTTCCTCGGTGGTCCACTCCCCCTCAGCCCCAGCTTGTCCCCCCCTACTCCAGGCATGGGGTCACCCTGTGGTGGTTCATCACTGCGTGAGACCCGATCCACTCCACGCACACACCCACCTCTCCTGGCCCCGCCACTCACCCCAGGCATGGCTATGGTGTCATCCTTCTGGATTTCCTCAGTGAAACCCAGGGACACCTTCAGTCCTAGGAGCCACATTGAACCATGCCTAGGGGTTTGGAGCCCACCTCTAAGCTGGGTCCAATGGGGGCCAGGGTAGATGCCCACATGTTTAATATCGAGCCACCTAACAGCAGCCACCTGTCCCCGATAGCCTTGCTCCATACTAAGATTCATGCCCTTGCCCCAACCTGGGGGCAGCCTACCAGGGTGGCAGTTGCCAGCCTTATACTCCAAACCTAAGTGCTTTTCAGATACTCACAGGGACATCTCAGCATGCTGTGTCATTGTGACTCAAGCATCCAAGTGTTCCCTGGGCGGGGTAATTATTGGTCCCAACATGAGTGCTGATCACTGCTTCCTTCACTCAGATCAAAGTGCTGCCAGCTGTGTATGCTCATCTTAGTATTCTAGATGTTCTCTACTTTGAACTGGATCAATAACTTTAGGAATGTGTTTCATATTAAAATGGTGGGGGGTTTTCTAAATTCACCCTTACTTTACAAGTTTAATAACATGCCCTGTTATAGTAACAGTCTTGTATGTGTGTTCAATAAACATCTGGCTGTAGAACAGTTTCTTTTTCTTCCAGGCACAAAGCCACATAGTGACATTTTGTGCAATGAAAAGATACACATTGTATCGATTTCAGAACTTAAAGTATTGCAAGGTGAGTTCAATGAGTTAGATGATTTTTAGTTGTACACATGTGTCAATATTTCAAATTCTGTTTCTGTTCTGAAGGTATTTATCATTATTGTTCAGTTGGAAAGCCTATTCTTAGGGTCTGAGTTTAACTTCCAGAGTACAGTGGGTATCATTGCTTCTTTTAAAGAGGGAGGGAAAATTTGCACTTTCATACAAGAGTTCTTTTTTTTTTTTTTTTTTTTTAAGTGTTGGCACTCTTTGTGCCAGAGATCTGAATCTGGCTCAAAATTAGCATATTAGTTTATCTTACATGGAAGCTACAGACACTGTCATCATGTTTAACAATTTGAGCATTCCCATGAAAACTTGGACAATGCGTTTAAAGTAAATGGGCCTACTTCTGAGCAAGTGGTTGGAATTACATGTTTATGCTGTGTGTATCTACTTATATGCACTATGAATTTCTCTTTTTTCTAAAACAAAGGCCATGAAGTAATGTGTTAATTTTTAAAGGATACCATCACTTAAAAAAAAAAAAGTTCCTTCTATATGTTGTTTCTAAATGAATTTCATATTTAGGGTGTGCTGTGTGAAATTTTGACAAAGATTTCTGTCATTTTACAGTTGGTCCTAAGATTTTCCAGTATATTACAAAAGTTATTGCACAGGCAATACAACTGTTCTATACAATGCTGAAGATAGATCGGCCATCTTATATTCTTCTTCAGGTATATATGTAGATATATAATTATGTGTTTATTGTATCATACTGCAGTACATTTTTCCAGCAACATCAAAAAACATAGTGACTGTTCATTTTGGTGATAAAACTACTAGTGTGGAATGAATAGTGGAAACAAATTTGTGAATTTTGATTCATATATTTGCAACCTTTGTGTTCACTTTTTTCATTAATTTTTGAGCATTCAGACTTTATTGGCACAAACACTAGCGAACTGAATTTAGTACAGATGCTTGAGTCTTTACAAAAAGCAAATTTCAATTGCATATTTGAGGGTAGAATTTGAAATCCATTCTAATGCACACAGCACAATTGTGACTTAAGCAGTCAAATATAGAATTCAAAATTATCTGTGTTAAATAATCTAATCAGAACAGAACAATACCACAATTTGTCTACTAGTGTAAATTGCAAATTCTATGTTTTCTTGTAAAAATCACAATTCATATTGCGTTGAGTGGGTTGTAGCCCACGAAAGCTTATGCTCTAATAAATTTGTTAGTCTCTAAGGTGCCACAAGTACTCCTGTTCTTTTTGCGGATACAGACTAACACGGCTGCTACTCTGAAACAAATGTAGAGTTATTCCAGTCAAATATTTACTTACACACATTTAAAGTAAATGAATTTTAACTCTCATTATATAGTTAAGGCCTCAGTCCAGCAAACATTTAGATAAATACTTAACTTTACTCATGTGAATAGTCCTGTTGAAATCAGTTTTCTAAGTGGAATTAATGTTGGCTGCAGATGCCAAATTGAGAGCATGGAGGGGTGAAAGCTTTTATCTACAGAACAAATACAACATGAGCGAACAGCAGTATGAACTTCACAGTGCTCCTCTTCCCCCAACAATGTGCCTCCAACTTCACTTGGAGGTACCATCTCTAGGGGCAGGTCTACACTTACTTCCTGGTCCGGCCGTAAGCAATCGATCTTCTGGGATCGATTTATCGCGTCTTCTCTAGACGCGATAAATCGATCCCGGATCAATCCCGGAAGTGCTCGCCGTCGACGCCGGTACTCCAGCTCGGCGAGAGGAGTACGCGGCATCCACGGGGGAGCCTGCCTGCCGCGTCTGGACCCGCGGTAAGTTCGAACTAAGGTACTTCGAATTCAGCTACGTTATTAACATAGCTGAATTTGCGTACCTTAGTTCGAAGTGGGGGGTTAGTGTGGACCAGGCCTGGGAGTGAGAAAGTAGCTCTGTTTCCAAAACAATGATTCTGGGTGTGTCTGCCATTTAGAGCTAGTTTTGATGGTAGTTGTTGTGATTAGATGTATGACCACTAGGGACTGAGATTAACCAGCTCTTTTCACGTACGTTACTGAGTAGTTACCTATTCTTGTGACCAAAAGTCGTAACTCAGGGGCCGTATTTGAACCAGAGACCTAGAGATTGTTAAAAGCAGTATCAGTCCAGTCCTTTCCTTTTCTGTCAGCTAATAAGCAGTTTGTCGTTTTGTCATAATTGGCTGCTGTTTTTTTTGTTTGTTTTATTTATTAAACAGAATCCTCCAGGCCTGCCTAGTATAGCTGTTACCTGGATGATTTGCCTTGTACGAAGAAGCAAACTGATCATTGATTGGCACAACTATGGTTATACTATAATGAGTCTGATCCATGGAAAAAATCACCCTATAGTACAAATTGCAAAGTGGTTTGTATAGAAGTCTTTATTTTTCTCTTACAAATCATATAGTGTTTACCGCATGCAAAAAGGTGGAAAGTAGTGGTTAGGAGACCATTGACAAAGAGATGTTTCCTTAAAGAGGCACTTTATTTTTAGGTTCAAAATTGACGTACTTTCCTTTTGGAGGTGTCCTATAGAATTAAATAGGAGATGCCTTTTCTATGGGTTTTTGGACCTTGCTACAGAACTTAATAGAAAATTCTATCCTTGTTATACCATTCTGTAAAATGGTTCCAGAAGGCTATAGAAAATGATATTGTTCTCTGTTAAATTTTAGAGCAATTCCTATTCCTGTTATTTCTTTTACATTCTATAGGACTTTTCACAAAGGGTTAAAATGGTTATACCTTTTTGAGGAATATCCTCCAGTAACAGCTAAATATTGTGTGTGTGTGTGTGTGTACGCATATACCATTGTTCGTATGTGAAGTGTACATGCAGAGTTGTAAAAAGCCTGGTGACTTAGGCCTGGTCTGTGCTAGAAAATTAGGTTGATTTAACTGTCAGTCTCCGGTGTGAAAAATCCATGCCCCTGAGTGGTGTAGATAAGCCGACCTAGGTGCCTGTGTAGACAGCACTAGGTTGATGGAAGAATTCTTCTGTCAACCTAGCTATCACCTCTCTCGGAGGTGGATTACCTACGCCAATGGGAGAATCCTTCCCATCAGCATAGATAGTATCTACACTGAAGCACTACTTCAGTGTGCTGCGCTGCTGTAGCATTTTACGTGTAGACAAGCCTTAAGAGACCTAATTATTTCTGAACCTGAGTGTCATCCATTGGACTCTAATGAGCTGCAACCATGCTTCTGAGATGCATGAGCTGCACATAAATAAAGTCAGTAGTATTCTGGGTCTCTTTAGATGGGTTAGAGTCATAATATGATGGTGTATGTGGTTGTATTAATTCCTTATAAGTTCCATATCTCAAATTTGAATATATTCTGCGTCTTGCCTTGTTTGTTATGACTAGGTTATGCTAAACATTTTTTCTTTATATTATAATTGCTTTCTGATTTGCTTGTTGGTTCTGTATTGCTGATTTGCCCAGTAACCCATCTTTCAAGGTTATGATAGTAGGTCTCTTTTGTTGAATTTAGTTCAGGCCTTTGGTTTCTCTGGGCCTCAAAGGGGGTAGCATGTACTCTACTGTATCTTGAATGTTGGCTCTATATGCAGGGCTCTTTAATGGAGCAATATCAACATAGACATAATTTACCTGTTAGGAGGCAAGTGAGAAATGAATACTGCAAGATACAGCTCCTGATAATTTTAGGCAAAATTGTTTAATTATATTAATGTTCATTCCAAAGATTAGGCATTGGTGAGAAACTGGTATTCAGTGTCACAATCTCATTAGTTGGGAATGACGTTTGGTTTATAACTGAAGTTTAATTTCTGTCAGGTATGAAAAGCTTTTTGGACGTCTATCTGACTACAACTTTTGTGTGACTAATGCAATGAAAGAAGATCTACAAATGAATTGTAATATCAAGTAAGTCAAAGGCCTTACACAAATGATTGTATACAGATTTTCACTTAGATGAGGATATATAGCTAGCTAGCCCTAATGATTTTGGATTCATAGAAGTCTTACTGTATAATCAGGAATCCAAGAAGCTTCTTTCTGACTCAGAACTAATACTTGGAAAAGCATATTCATCGTGAAAGTATTGTTCCACCCCAGTGATTCTGGTACTAGGAGGCCAAGAAATATAGGGTTGGTAGACGTACATGTCACCGAACTTTACTTACCCTTTTGTTGTTTACTTTGTAAAACCTCTCAATAGTTCCACAAAACTTAAATAAAAATGAATATTTATTGCTCCTCTATAATTCCCTCTCAAAGAAAGTCTGAGAGGCCATTTGAATTAAATGTTAGTGACAGCTAGAGGGGGGATAGCTGGGGCTTTTGGCTGCCACATAGGCACGGAAGCAAGCATGAGGTGATTGAGTTTTTTGGTAATGGTGGTAGTGAAGGATGAATCTTATATTGAAATTTGAGCATTTGAGGAAATTGGAATTCCCAACTTCAGTAAGCCTTAATATCAATACATTGTGGAGTCATTGTTTTAGACGCAGGCCCAGGGAGACATTATTGCATCAATTTACCATTATTTTACATTTTGAAAGTTTTTCTTTTGTGATCATAAGGGCTGGGGAATTTTTCAAAATTAAAGCTTAGATTCTTGGTCACAGTTATAAGGCAAGTTAAAAAGACAATTATACTGCAGTTTATATGGCTATATTGTGTGTGTCATGTATGCATTATGGATGAGTCCCTATTTGTAGGATTTGCTCCACTATGCCAAGCCTAGTTCTGCCTTATGCCATGTGAATAAGCAGTAGTCTTGCCAAATCTGTAATATTTTTAATTGGTGTAGTTTAGTCGTCTAGATCTTGTGAGGGCACTAGCCAGAAGGGCAAATGCAGCCTTATGGCTTTGTACAAAAGCAGCTCTTATTTTTAATGCAGAGGAGGGCAGCCTGGGGAGGTTTCAGCACTTGGACATTCTGTCCTGAGGAATACCTTTACATCTGAATCAAGAGCTAAGTTGGCTTGCTGAGGCCGCATGATGGTCACACCCTGCCCAAAATGAGCGAGGCTAAAATCTGTTCTGTGCAAACTAGGATTGACCTTCCATCTCCCGATCACTTGCCAGGGCACCCCTTGATGTCACAAAATACAGAGCATCCTCCTGCTGTAAATACTTTCGGAATGTGACACTCCCTGAGATTTCTTAAATGATATACTGTACTTCCTGCTTAGAAATAATTTTTGTATGATGAAGAAGCTAGGGTTTGTCTCTGCTACAGCATGTGTGAGAGCTCCCTGGATAAGCACATGGTACTCCTGGGGGGATTCTGTGCCCATGCCGGGGACAGAATTCATATGGCCCACATTTTTGTGTGTTCCCTGCGCAGAAAAACGCAAAAAAAACCTGCCGGGGGACAAGTGCCTCTTCCCCAGCAGCCCAGGCAGCGCATCTGTTCCAGCGTGCCTGGGGCAGCCTCAGAGGCTGGGGGGGGGGGTGGGGGGGGCTGGGGGGGTGGGGGGGGATCCCCTGGGGGGGGGGGGGGGCTGGGCGTACGTGTGTGCCAACAAGAGAGAGAGAGAGACACACTCTGTCCTTTTTTGCGACTGCTGCTCCCTGGTGTGTAAGGGTTGGGCTTTTTATTATGCATGAGGCAGGCTAGAGCAGTATTTTTCAAATGTGGCCACCGTGGTCTTTTCTTGCAGTCATCCGAAGAAGTGGGTTGTAGCCCACGAAAGCTTATGCTCTAATAAATTTGTTAGTCTCTAAGGTGCCACAAGTACTCCTGTTCTTTTTGCGGATACAGACTAACACGGCTGCTACTCTGAAGCCTCCTGGGCTGTGATTAGGCAGGGGGAGGGGGTATTGGCAAAGCAGTGGCTCCTCCCCTGGGGCTGCCTGCAGGGATTGGTCCCTACTCCCTTCCGAAGCCACAAACTGTAGGAGCAGGCAACCCAGAGGTGGTGTGGCTTGGGCTTCAGGCTTTTGCCTTGGGGTGGTGGGTGCCAGGCTCTGGCCATGCGGTGGTGGGGCTCTGTCCCCCAACCACAGGGTTTTGGGTGCCATCCCTGGACTCACCCCCCTACCATCACCTCGACCCCCGCTGCCTCTGGCCCACCTGCCTCCTTACCCACCTCCTCATCCAGAGCTTAATTTGTTTCCCAGCATGCCAGGGCTGAGTAACTCTGCTGTGAACAGTGATATTAAACAAATATACAAAGATCACTTTTCACATAGCAGACTTAATAACTAGCAATCTAAAAAAAAATCAAAACATGCAAAGCACTTTATTTTTGTTTCTATTCTGTCCAGTAAAGAATAGAGACAACTGTACATTATTGTTATTATTGAGTCTGCAAAAAAAAAGTACATAAATAAATTACAATGATATGGACAAGTATATATGTGCATATTTATTTGTTTTTCTTAAAGTTAATTAAGTATTTTAGGAAAAATTCTCAGAGCAGCCACCAGCAAGAGTTGGTGGCCACACTCTGAGGCCACCAAAAATTATGTTGTGAGAAGCCCTGGGCTAGAGGCACAAATAAAGCAGCCTGCCTGAGTTAATTTATCTCATTCACTGAGGCACAAATGTAGCACCCTGACTGTGTAGAAAAGTTGTTAAAGTTGCTGTTGATGGTTAATCGATCTCGTTCTCTGAGGCAGAAATGTAGCACAATGCCTATTGTTCCTATTGTTAGTTAACTGTTCCCATTCTCAGTCAGTTCTCCCAGGAGCATTAAAACCAGTGAAAGTTTTAAGGCCCCTACAATGCCAGACTTATGTAAAGGAGTTTTCTTATAAATGACAGTAAGGGGATCCTCAGCTAGGAAAGTCTATGTGCTTTCTCACTTTTTTCCTGTGCCAAAGTGGCACAGTGGGGTTAGATTACAGCTCATGATTTATTTTACTTACCCATTAAAAAAAAAAAAAAAGCCTTTGAGGGCAAATAAAACATTTACCAAGCAGTCAATAAAATGTCAGGAGAATCAGAACCAAGCACTTCCCAAAGTACCCAGCCAGGTCCAGGACAATGCTTAGCAAAACTGTGTGACTTCCATGTGTGGAAGTCTGAGCAATTTAAAATGACATTCTACTTTTTTTTGTTTTTGTGGCTGTTTGGTGTTCTGTAATGTAATTTAAATGAAAATCCAGGATTATAACTGGAATGCGGGGTATTAGTTACCAAGTGTTTGTAACTTAACTTTCATGTGTTTAGGAAATGCTGAATAGTTATTGTGACTTTTTTTTCTGTATTGTAGTTTAAATAAATTACCAAAACCATTGAAACTGGTATGATTATATTGCATTATTTTGACAAATAAAATATGCAGAATTTTGAATTTTTTGGCACAGAATCCCCCCAGGAGTAACATGGGACTTTTTTTTAAAGTTCACCTTGAAAAGCATAAAAAAATTAAATAGATCTTTTTCCTTCTTGATAGATCAAGGCCCCAGTCCTGCAGATACAGGCATGTGTTTAACTTTATGCATGGTTACATTGAAGTCAAGACTATGCAGCTGCTTAACTGTTTACAGCTTTGGGGCACTGTTGTGCTCTTTTGTACATTCTTAGGGTGGCAGAAGTCCCCAACATTATAGCTCTTCTATTCCAAAAAGCTTTTAAAATATAAAGAGTTTTCAGAATCAGATCATTAATTATTTTGTTTTATTGATGCTTTTAATTGTCTTATATATATATATTTTTATTTGACTAATGAATTTCTTTCACCACAGAGCAATAACCCTCTATGACAAGCCAGCTTCTTTTTTTAAGGAAACACCATTAGAACTCCAGCATAAATTGTACATGAAACTTGCCAAAGACTATGCTCCATTTAAAAGAGGGTATGTATTAGTAACAGATGCAGTGACAGTCTTTATTAACTGAACTAAGACAGGCCAGCCCACTTAGTTTAGAAACTGAGTATATGCTTCTTGCTTGTGACTCTTCTTCCCTGTTAACTGACTGCAGCTCATCTTGTTGATGTGATTCCAAGTGCATGTGGAGTGGAAATGGGGTGTTTTTAAGGTGTCAAATACCAAATAATTTTATCCAAAAGTCACTACACGTTTATAGTCCAGAGAAACAAAAACTGATAGGCCAAATCTAAATAATTGTTTTTCTTAATGTAGATCCAAAGATGTGACCCCCTCCCACTATTTTAGTCACATGAGATTCTTAGCATGCCTAGGGGACACCACAATTAAAAACAAGCAAGATACTCACAATTTAGTTTTGACTATTTAAAAAAAAAAAGGGAAAACAACACAAATAAGCAGTAAATAATGGTTACTTCAGTTAGTCTGTACATCTCTCTGTGGAGAGCTTTCATCAGAGATTATACTCTGGAGGGTCGGTCCTCCCTCTTGGGGGCACTCTTCTCTACATAATTTGAGACCGAAGTGTATTATTTTCCAAAATCAGTAGTGAGTCCTGTCTTAGTGTACATTGGTAACTAAAACAATTTATAGATGGGCAAGTGAATTTCATTTAAGGGTTGATTAATCCTGTTTGGTTTATTATGGATAACCTAAACAGTTTATAAATGGGCAGAGGTAAATGATCTTAACTGAGTCCTATGAAAAGGAAGAAAATATTTAACTCATTTACTTAAAAGAAGCTATTCAACAGTTTCTCAAATGAGAAGGCAGTGTTTCGTATAAACCCATCAACTCACTGCAAGGACTGGTCTTGAGGTAGGCAAACTAATAAATATTAGGAATCTGAATGTCAAAAATAAATCCCACTATTTCTCTCTTTGTCAAGGTTATCTGTTGTCTCCTCCCTAGGTGTATACAATCTGAACAATCTGGTGTTAATACCTTAAGCTACAATAACCTTTAAATAGCGCATTGAAATACTATAAGAAAAATTTAAATCTAATCCTTTGGCAGTGCTTTTGCAAACATTATCTCACCAGTGATGCTGAAGTCTTTGTGATGTCATCATGTTGCAGAAACAATGCTAGACTGGAAGGTTACTTCTTGATGTTGCATTATGGCTTCTTTGCCTTATTGCTGCTATTTGCTTGCTTGAAAGAGCTGAGATGAACAGGCTGAGATGAATGTGCCAAATTGGTATCTCAGTTCAGAAAGATGTATACTCTTGTCCTTCCATAGTCCCACTGAAGGTAGAAGATGCACCTATTTCAGGGGAGTGGCAGGATCCAAATATTAGCTGTTATCACACTTTCATTGGCTCAACACCTTCATGGGATGACATTGGTAAAATCTTCAGCTCCTGAATATGCCGTCTGCTAATACATATGCAACAGCATTGTAAATCTTCAACTTCATGATCCTATTATTTTGTGATTGTGGTGGGAAATTTTCAGTGTGTCTCTAAAGGTGGGGTCTTAATTCTTTCTTTTTAGTTCATCTTCTGAGATCTCTCTAATTCTATCAGGGTTTAATAAGAGATGAATTTCTGTTTCAGATGAGTCCAAACACTCCTCCTTTCTACATAAGCCTTTTACCTTTAAAATAGTCTTTTTAAACTTAAGTGATTTTTAGAGTATTTAGACTCAAATAGCTCTCAAAGAAAGCATTGTTTCTTCATAACAATCCTTGGAGATGTGTTTCTTGTCTTTGATTTGTTAAGGAAGTTAACTAATTTCCCAATTAGTATAGATACAAGAAGCCACTTGAATATAAGGTATGTTACATTAGTAACCAGTTAGAGCAATGTCATTTGATTCCATGTTGATACATAAAACATATCACTATTCACATAACAATGGCATCAGAAAGCTAGTACATTAGATGCTTGCAACTAGATACAAAATATTAGTGAATAAACACAGCAAAAGGAGCTTATGCCATCTTAAGCATTTAAGAAACAAACAAAGGTCTTCACCTTTAGTGGAAACACAGGATTAGAAGTAACTAAAACATTTCCTAACTATACATGTTTTCCTTAGAGTAAAATGAATGAAGACCCTAGAGTGCCTATAAAAGAAATAATTTTCAATAAAAATATTTCTAGAATTTTTGCTGTGGGTTTAAAACTGAGGTTTTTCCTCAAAAGGAAGAGAGAGAAGTGGGAGTTAGAGAGGCTCTTGGCTTAGCTTTTGTGGCCTGGATAAAGCAGATGATGCATGTCTCCTTGAAATCCTAGACCGGGGTGGCCAACCTGAGCCTGAGAAGGAGCCAGAATTTACCAATGTACATCGCCAAAGAGCCACGGTAATACTTCAACAGCCCCCCATCAGCTCCTCCCTTCCCCCCCCCGCTCCCAGCGCCTCCCACCCACTGGCAACCCTGCCGATCAGCACTTCTCCCTCCTTCCCCGCACCTCCCGATCAGCTGTTTCGTGGCATGCAGGAGGCCACAGGGGGGAGAGGGGAGAAGCGAGAGTATTGCAGGCTCAGGGGAGGGGGTGGGAAGGGGTGGAGTGGGGGCAGGGCCTGTGGCAGAGTCAGGAGTTGAGCAGTGAGCACCCCCTGGCACATTGGAAAGTTGGCACCTGTAGCTCCAGCCCCGGAGTCAGTGCCTATACAAGGAGCCGCATATTAACTTCTGAAGAGCCACATGTGGCTCTGGAGCCACAGACACCCCTGTCCTAGACAAAGAATATCTTCATAGGAGGTGAGAGGAGAGGGTGGGTGTTCTGCTCTTTGAGAAGACACTCCTTTTGGAAGTTTGTCTTTTTAACCAAGTGGTTCCCAAGATTGCAGTCTACAGTAGATTCACCCATAATTTGCAATTGAAAATTCCTACCAAACACACTATGCAACACAAAAATCACAACAACAAATATTCAGATCTTTCTAGCATATCACACACACAAAATTATATAGAGTAAGTACTGAAGCAAAATAAAAATCGTCATGCTGTTCCAGCATCTGAAATTGCACCTGCAGGTGATAAGCACAGATTTATGGACAAGGAAGCAGTATTCTCCTTGAAGCTTTTTGTACCCGTCCGTTATTGTAGGAAAGCAAGGATTTCCCAGGAATTTCTTTAATTAGCCTGAATATTTCATTTACTAAAATATACAACCAAAACCATAAGCATGTGAGCTATTATTCTCCAAGCACCATGTGTACAAAGATAATTGGAACTATCTCCCAAAATTCAGCAAAGGCAGGTTTGTAATAAGTTATAGTTTTATTTAATGCTAAGTTATTATAATAAAACAATTTTGCATCAATTTGGAGTTTAATCCCTCACATGCTGTACTAATCCTTGTAGCAATACCGTCTTTCTTGGAGGTGGTATGAAGATTCAGGGATTCCTGACCTTCTGTATTCCTCCATCTCTGGGCAAAAATGGCTCTTCTGTTTCATAGTTGCTTTCAATGAGAGATCTGTTCACTTAGGTTTCACTCATCTGGTGAATAAACATGAGCCTCTGTGGCTTGAAGTATGGACTGTGATATAAGGCCCCTAAATAGATATGGGGAAGCTAGACTGAGGCTAATGCTAGTCTTGGTGTAAAAAGCTCACAGACAAAGCTGCTGAAGCATCCCTTGCTAGAAAATCAAAAGAAAGAAATTTGAAAATTGTCAAATTCCCAGTGAGCTAAATATCGTGTACTGAGTGCCTCAGAGAGAGGGACCTCATTCATATAAATTTTAGATTTTTCAAAATCATGAACTAATATTAAAAAGGTTTCTTCTCCAGCAGTTTGTGGGATGTCTGCCATAGTAAACATCATAGAGACAAGGCGGGTGAGATCTTTTGTTGGACCAACTTCTGTAACTGGTTAAAAGATAAAAAACGAAGAGTAGGAATTAAATGGTCAGTTTTCAGAATGGAGAGAGTTAAATAGTGGTGTCCCCCAAGGGTCTGTACTGGGCCCAGTCCTAGTCAATATATTCATAAATAATGTGGAAAAAGGGTTAAGCAGTGAGGTGGCAAAATTTGCAGATGATACAAAATTACTCAAGATAGTTAAGTCCCAGGCAGACTGCAAAAAGCTACAAAACGATCTCTCAAACCTGAGCAACAAAATGGCAGATGAAATTCAATGTTGATAAATGCAAAGTAATTCACATTGGAAAACATAATCCCAACTATACATACAAAATGATGGGGTCTAAATTGGCTTTTACCACTCAAGAAAGAGTTCTTGGCATCATTGTGGATAGTTCTCTGAAAACATCCACTCAGTGTACAGTGGCAGTCAAAAAAGCAAACAGAATGTTGGGAACCATTAAGAAAGGGATAGATAATAAGACAGAAAATATCATATTGTCTCTATATAAATCCATGGTATGCCCACATCTCGAATACTGCGTGGAGATGTGGTCGCCCCATCTCCAAAAAGATTATATATTGGAATTGGAAAAGGTTCAGAAAAGGGCAACAAAAATGATTAGGGGTATGGAATGGCTTCTGTATGAGGAGTGATTAATAAGACTGTGACTTTTCAGCTTGGAAAAGAGACGAATAAGGGGGGATCCGATAGTCATAAAATAGTACCAAATGGTATGAATGGATACGATAGTCATAAAAGCATGACTGGTGTAGAGAAAGTAAATAAGGAAGTGTTATTTACTCCTCATAACAGAAGAGCTAGATGTCACCAAATGAAATTAATAGGCAGCAGGTTTAAAACAAAAGGAAGTATTTTTTCACACAACGCACAGTCAACCTGTGGAACTCCTTGCTAGAGGATGTTGTGAGGGCCAAGACTATCACAGGGTTCAAAAAAGAACTAGATAAGTTCATGGAGGTTAGGTCCATCAATGGCTATTAGCCAAGATGGACAGGGATGGTGTCCCTAGCTTCTGTTTGCCAGGAGGTGGGAATGGGCGATAGGGGATGGATCACTTGATTACGTGTTCTGTTCGTTCCCTCTGGGGCACCTGGCATTCGCCGCTATTGGAAGACAGGATACTGGGCTAGATGGACCTTTGGTCTGAACCAGTATGGCCATTCTTATGTTTTTATGTAGCTGAGAGAGGGAAGCTTTTCAGCCATAAAGATATTCCTGAAGAAGAGCTCTGTTTGGCTTGAAAGCGTCTCTCTCACCTACAGAAGTTGGTCCAATAAAAGATATTACCTCACCACCTTGTCTCTCCAATATCCAGGGACTGACATGGCTACAGCTATATTGCATATAATAAATATCATGGCAGACAACGACTGTACCATGAGAAATGGCTTAAAAAATCCTCAGGATAGTCAGTCCAGCTTCTTTGTTAAAATCCTTAGTGCAGAATGAATTGACTCCATGTATGTTTGAATGAATGCACTATAGACCATCATCTTCAAGGTAAATCAAGTATATAGTGGACAATTGGAAGGCACGCTAAACACTCTTCACAAATTGCCAAGGGAACACCCTCGGAAGTGGTATAGCTAAGATATCTGTGACAGCTAGGAAAAGAATCATCTGAGTCACATGATCATGATACCCAGATGTTCACAAGCAAAATGAATGAGCCCCCAGAGGTGTTGAATGACAAATTTGGAACCAAAATGTTGTGAAATTCATATCATTTGGTACAGTATTTGATTATATCCATGCACATCCTTACATAGTAATACTTGGAATTAATAATTGTGCTCTTTAAATCCTGTTTACACAGAACAGACTCCATATATCCAGATGTTGAGAAATCTGCATTTACAGAACTAGACATCAGAAATGGAAATGTGACACAAGTCAAAGAAAGACCAGCTCTTCTAATTAGCAGCACCAGTTGGACAGGTCTTGAATCAAATTGGTGTTTATTGTTAATATTCCTTTATAATACCTTTACATTAAACAGTTGATAAAAATTAGAGCTGTACCTCCCTCCCCCATGCATAAACTTTGCTCTGCTACAGGACATTACAACCAGCAAAAACACAGTCGTATACATTTCTTTGATTAACAGGAAGAATTTGCAGCTCAGCTGTATGGACTATCTCAGTGTCTACATATGAGGACCATAATCCATTGAAATTTTTAGTTTAATTATGGAGTTATAAGGTAAATGTTGAGCTCCATGAATGATTAGAGAAACAAGTCCTACCATCATCTAACATTAGAAGTACATTAAATATGCATGCATGGTGCTCTAGAATGGCTCTAATAAGTTAAAATGTTTTGTCTTTCATTTCCTGGTACATTTATTACATATTTATGCACTAAGATTATTTTGTTTATGAAAAGGTCTAAAGCTGGAACAAAATCTGCTGTATTGTAGTTGAGAATGGAAGTGTGCATCTTTTTGAATTAGAATTAATTGGGCAATAATGTCTAATAAAATTGACAATGAAATGTCATGCTTCTGAGATGCTGATTGGCTTTAGTATTTGTGTAATTGTTGGAAAAGTTTCCATTTAAATGGAGCAAGTAGGAACAATATGAGAGTTATAGGCTTTTGTTTATTACATTTATAGTACCTATCGTAGTAAAAGCACATTGTATATTTAGTCACTTCAGTGAAGATGAGGAAAGTCATGATTGCTATCTTTTCAAGAGAATAAGGCATTACAGCTAAAAATGCTATGAGTGTCACTAATAATCCTTTCTTTTTCAGAGGATGAAGATTTTTCTATTCTTTTAAAAGCTTTAGAAGGTAAGTATCAAGGAGTTTCCTTTGGTTATTTAAAGAGTCTTCTTATGGATGTATTCTCAACAATTACTAAGAGCTTCTTCAAAGAACAGTGCCTTCATGTCCAAATGAAAATTCAAATGCATTTAAGGACCAGAGTAGTTTGTCTCAGTGTGGGAGTAAAAAAAAAAAAAAAAAGCTTAAGATCATAGTGACATGCAGGATACAATTAAAACCTTTGTCATTAGGAAATATATTTCTAACCACTTGATAAAGTGGGTTACAGCTTTACTTTGTGCACATCTTGTAGTGGTGTGGCTGCTTACTGAGCTCCTTCTTGTGGCCAGGGGTGCCTTTGCAGTGCCCTGTGAATAATTTCTCTCTCAAAGGTTCCTTACACAGACAGGTCTGGGTTTATTCACAGGAAATCATTTAAAGCCCCAAACTGAAGTCCCCTAAACAGACATTTCCTTTCTACTCCCAGGCCTCCTTGGCGGGAGAGCTTTTGTGCACTTTCCCTAGCTTGCCCAGGGTGTCTTCTGCTTTAGCAGGCTATTCCTAACCCTTCCTGGCTGGAGTGTTAGTCCCAAATCCCAGGATTCTGCTGGAACCTGCCCCCAGGGCCGGCTTTAGGAAGTGCGGGGCCTAATTCGAACAGTTTCGGCGGGGCCCCGGCAGGGATGACTAAAAACAAACAAACAAAAAAGCCTTTCATTTCTTAGCAACCGGTTCCCTATAAAAAGTTCTGATTTAAGGGATGTGCCACAGTATGTATTTTTTGTACCAATAAGGGTTACCATACGTCCGTATTTTCCCATTTTTAATTTTTAAAAATTCCTCCCGGACAGCAATTTAAGAACCAAAAAGCCTGACATGTCCGGGAAAATATGGATGTATGTTAACCCTACCTAAAGTTCTTTTTTAAAAAGATGGGCCTGAACTAGAAATGAACTCCATTTCACATGTGTGGGTCCCCACCACTCCCTGGGGGTGTGTGCACATGTGTGGGTCCCAGCTGCTCCCTGCCCCCCTAATTGAAGCAGGTGTGCAGGGTTACTGCTCTGGGAACTGCAGGGCACCACTGGACATGGGGCTGACTGGAGGTAGGGTCTGGCTGCAGGCAGGGCAAGGGGTGCGGGGCTGGCTGGAGGGGTGTGTGGGGTGGGCTGACTGGCTTCAGGCAGGGCCGCAGGGGGGCGCAGCATGGGTTGGCAGGGCTGGAGACAGGAGTGCGGGACTGGCTGGCTTCAGGCAGGGGGGTGCGGCAGGGGCTGGCTACAGGCAGG